CTTCTTGGTATGGGGCTCGAATGTCTGTGCCAGCCTTCCAAACATGCATATTGCTCTGCTGCTATGTTTATCAAGCCAAAATTGGATGTACCATAAACCTACACTGAAAGTGCAGCTTATATCCTAGGATAGAGGAGTACCAATGACAGAAAATGGTCTTAAACCTCTACTTGAACATGATGCTTGCACTATGTGCATGAAGATCAAAGATGAGCTATAGACACAACTGCCACTCATAAGGAGTAACTTCTAGTTGTCGTTGGGATACTTCCAGCCTGAACTCCTTCACCATTGACAAAGACCAAACAAGAGCCAGTCATGGAGCTATTTGCTCTCTTCCCCAGGGGAGAAATTGCCCTCTGAAGCATACTTGCCTGAAGCCCTAGGTTGTATCTCTTGATTCCTTCAGAGCCTAAACTCAAGCGTTAGCACCACTGAAAATTAAAGATTTCTTAGCTTCTTACTGGATATTTGCTGTTTATTTCAAACCAGCAAGCTACTGAAAAAGTGGATTTTCAAAAAAAAAAAAGAATGATTACTGAATTATGAAATACATTATGCACTTTTTCTCTTAGCAATGACTGCAAAGGTGACATTTATAATACTGAGGGAATTTGGTCCCGTAATTGGAGGGAGAAGAAACACAGTACCCATAATTTATTAAAAAAAAAAAATCAAAAAAATCTGTAAAACATCTCTTAAATAGATTTTTTCAGTAAAGTATGTGCAACAGGTTTTACTGGCACTTGTTAGCAATGACCTGCGTATGTCATTTGTATGAATATGGCCCTATCAAATACATGGTGATGAGACACATTTCACCATGTTGCCCTTTATATAGAGTCTATTTATACACGAGGATGAATGAATTGACAAGACAAGAGGCGCAGTATATAGATTTGATATACTGGCATAAATTTAGGATGATCTACATTATTCATAAGTACTGAAGCCACAAATGAGATATGTAACAACATCCAAAATGAGTGTCAATAGAATCTGTTCCCACAGTGCACCATCATATATTCCTATCTGTCACATACTCCTTAGAAATTTCTCCTTCTAAGAAATCTGTTGCATTCAGTCTGGAAAGCAACATTGCCTTGGGATCTGTGATAAGACTTGCCTAGAAGAACAGGCTTTCAGAAACTGTCTAAAAAGAAGTGGACAGAAAACACAAAGAATTTCCTGCTACCAAACAATTATCTCTTTTTCCAATCCAGTTGTGCCACAGTTGGGGACCCAAAACTTATCTGGAACAGATCAGTTTCTTGGTGTCTTAAAAACTGCAAGATCAAAACTAAACCAATTGAAATATCATCAGTCCAGCAGGCAACAGATAACGACAGAACTGACAAATAAACTAATCCCAAGTCTATTTTTACAGACTGAAGAAATGGAGAGATGCCTAGTCTACCTTTTGGAAATCATGTATGAGCTAAAACATCAGCTATTTTGAAGCTCGCTCATTATTAATGTACATTTTTAAAAGGTCTGATTTACTACAAGTGCACCCAGTATAGGATTTGACTATTCTATTTATTGCCAAAATATCTCAGGCATAAAGCTGTGTGTATTCAGAATAAAACCTATTTCTTTTTCATACGGCTGAAACTGTTTACAGAGGAGTGGTTATCAGAAACGAAGAAACGTAAAGAGTGTGCAAAAGAGTGGTATAAAAATATTAAAGATTAATGACCACTTTCATGCCAGATACAAACCAGAAGTCTCCACAGAAGTCCTTAAACTTGTGTTTGAAAGGCAACTAAGTGTTTTCACCTGTTAAAATCTCAGTCTGGATTTCAGATGAGTGACCCTGACCTGAAAGATTTTGTTTCCTATCTGAACCATCCACTCACTCACACCTATCTCTCTATTTAAATAAATACAGCAGTGATACTGAAACACAAGTCATAAATAAGGCTTTGTACTGCCAAGTAAAATCAAAGGTGCTTACTGTTTGTAATAATTTAAATTTTACAATGTATTTATATTATTTAGTTTTATAACTATGACAATTTTAAACTTGTTCTTGTCACTAATATAATATGTACATGAAAATTACTTCTGGAAATACCTACTTTACGGTAACTTTACAGTAAAGAAAAAAAAAAGAAAAGGTACCTGGAATTTCACTGAAAGCCTCTCCAAGGACAGACACATGAAAAGGTAGATCTTTTTCTTTCAGTTTCAGCAGGACTTCAAAGAAAGTTTCAGGACCTTTGTCATGTTCCCTTAAAAGAAACAGAACTTATCTCAGCATCGTTTATATTTACTTGTGGAACTGTTTTTTCTTTTTGTTTATCAGAATAGTATTTCTCTTGAATAGTACTTTTGGTGACTAAACGTCTTCAGCACAGTTTCCCTCCTTGCTTTGCTTCATGGTTAAACATTTCTCTCAGTGCAGCTCTTGGGATCAAAACTCAGTTTAATCAGATTCTTATTTCTCTTCCCTGTCTCCAAACGTTGCCTTTAACTCTTCAGATTACCATACCTGAAAGTGAGAAGGACTGAGTAGGATCTCACCCAGCTGAAGGCAAAAGTCATATTAAAAAAAGGGTAGGGTAGGAAAAAAACAGGTTTTTTTTTTTTGTTTGTTTGTTTGTTTTCTGTCCAAAAGTATGTATACAATCTCCATTTCAGGAGGAATAGGTGACTCGAAAAACTTACTGAAACCATAGGATTTCCCAAACTCCCAAACTGGAATTCTATGAAACCATGCTATACTCATTAAAAGCTTCTGATCCATTTAGGGAAAAAAGAAAGGAATAACACAAGGCATCTTCTACCTTTAGACTTTCAAGAAGTTAACTGGAAGCTTAAACAAAAAATGCTCATAATTTCAGCTGAAGATAATATTAAAGGTTTGTATGGATATGACACTCAATGCCTTGAAACACAAGGTTGGTTGTCTAAAAATTAAATAAAAAGCCAGTTTGTTAACCTATCTTATTTTCTAGCACAGAATGAAAGGTTCAAAACGTACCACAGATTATCTATATTTCCCAAATTTGCTAAGTTATATTTAAAATGAAATAATTCTCCCTGTCTAAGGTGAACATTATATCTTACATTTAATTACTCTGCTTTAAATTCTTGCATTTCAGACAGATGTGCACCATATGTCTTTAAAATATTTTGGTTTTATTTATTATTTAGAAAATTCCAGTTTTCCTTCCTGTATTAATGGAAAATCTATAGCTCAGCTGCCCTGGTGTCTTTCTTCACAGACTAATCTTGTAGAATGAATCTGTAGGTTTGTCACACTGTTATATGAAAGATTAATAATTATATAATTCAGAAAATCTAAAGCCAAATGACATCTGCAGCTCTACATGTGTTAATTTCTCATTCAGTCAATATTTTTGGTTTAGGGAATTAAAACAAATTAATCTTCTAATAAATGTGACTTCTCTAGGCTGAGAAATCTTCAGGAATTGAGTTTTCAGAATTAGTTGCATTTTCTTAAAATAAAGGCAGACAATAATTACTTTAAGAAGTCCTCCATCTTCCAGATTTGTTTTGTTCCCAGTAATAAAGAGGAATGCAACTGCATAAGCTTTGTTATTTGTTTTACATCTGTGAACCAGGAGTTTTTATGGCAGTTCCAGTAACAGAAGTGGATATAAGCACTGGCTTGGAGAGAGAATTTATTCCAGTTGCAAAGATTCCAGTTTTGCCTAGTAGTTTGCTTGCATACTCACGCTTAAAATAGCCACCTGTTTCTGATAGGTAAGTAAAGGGCAAAAATGAGTTGTCTGTATTTTAGCTGCCTCCAAATGCCCAGCTGAAAAAGGCAAAATGGGATTATAACAGACTAGAAGAAAACACCTCTATCAGAAATGTGCAAGTTTGCAAGGAAAATAGCTTCGATGCTGGAAGGCAGTGTAATTCATGATAATGTGATAATGTTTCCTGTTAACTTCAGATTCCCCAAGGCAGGCTTTTGTGGGTGCTTTTGAAGTGATCCTGATGAGCCCCCATCCTGTATCTGATGCTGAGTGATGCCTAGCTCATCCTGAGATGGACCTAAACATCCCCATAGATAGAGGAGGCAGCCTTGACAGACTGAGCTGCAATGCTTACAGGGATCTTTCCAAGCTCTTCACAGCCGTGCTATCAGCTCTGCAGTCACAAAAAGTCCTTCCAACATAGGATATGCTTTCCCTCTCGCTTTCCAGAAGAGACCAGGGGTCCCAGAGGCAGCCAAAAGTGGAGGATGCTGTTGGAGCCACATTGTCAAGGAGCTGGCAAGAGAATATGGAGCCTTACAACTCATTGAAGCCACATAAGCTGCACATATTTAGGAAAACTGATAGGAATTGGAAGTTGCAGCTTTGTTTAATAGGTGGGGAAGAACAGAAGGAAAATTTGGCACCCAGAAGGAATGCTGAAAGGGGAAACGTTTCCTCTGCTGGAACTGGAGCCTCTCTTACGGGTTTTCTGCTGTAGGTGATCCTCCTTCCATACCTCCTTTTAAAATATCTTGCTTTTATGTGATACTCACAGATTTTAATGACACATGTTGTGAATCTTGTACCTTTTCTATTTGGGAGGTCATCTTATTCTATTTCCCAGCTCCCATGACTTTTCCACACCACAACCATTTTATTTTTGGTTAAGACCTACAGAAAGGTTCTAGCACGTGCACCTACAGATTGCAGTATACTCTTATTATTGCAAGTTAGTAAAGTATAGCTGCTCCTGGGAGAAAGCAATAAATAGTACAAGACCACCTCTTTACTGCATCACAAAGAAGAGAGCTCTGTTTCTTGGCTGACACAGAGAAAATCATATACAATCCAGTCTGCCTTACTCAGCAACAACTGCTGAACACACCAGATTGCCATAGCAGTGATTGTGGAAAAAGATGAACACAATATGGAATGTCTGTTCTGTAAAGATCTGCTCAAAATGATGTGCACTTTTGGCTGCATCTGTTGCATTTTTGAGCTTTATTAAACAGTATTAATTATATATTCCCTTAATATTTTTTTTAT